TGGGTTTTGGTAAATGATAATTTACATATTTTGAGATGTAACAAATCAGGTACCCGATATGTAAAAATGCCCGTTATATATCTAATTAGTCACTGATATATAGGTACCTGATATATATCTGATAGTATCGATTTTGACCTGTAGATTATTATCTTCATTTTCTTCAAGATAAATCCTACACTTTACATCCCTATATAAATCATATCTTCTTTCTTTCATAATCTTTAAAGTTAATAGTAAATTGTTTGTAAGTTTCAAATGTTTAATAAAGTTGTTGTTTACTGATAATATTATATATACAGTTAAGTCCTGTATTTTTTTAAATAATGTTTAAGTGACTTTCTTTTCTATTATATAAGTTGTGTCTTGAAAAATTGTTCTGTATGTACAGTTGAAAGACTATATTGTCTCTAATGCAGCTTTACATATATTATCTATAAATTTCCTAATATGTTTATCAACTTTTTTACCATCCTAATATAAATTATATTTTAAGTCTTTTTGTTATGTATTTAGTGAAAATGTCAATTAGTCACCAATCATTTACTAATCAGCTACCAGGATCCCAGACAATTATAATAATAGAGGTTATATCTGTGATACTAATAAAAATTCGAAAAAAATATACATAAATTTAGTCATTTTATTATACATTTTTATCCTATAACCTTTATATAATACTAAAATATACTTTTTTATCATATGACATTAATATATATTTACGTTAAAATTTTTGTATATCAATATTATATATGCTAATCATCTTTAAAATAGAATAAATTTAGATATCACCTCTATATAATGTTTAAAATCCAGCAAATCAATAAAATACACACTATTTTATCAGGTAAAATTTATGCTGTATGATAAAATTTTATGATAACTATGTTATTTACAAGATCAAAATAAATATCAATTTTACAACAAAAAAATCATGTGTAAAAATCCCAAAATTTTCAAAAATTAAAATAAAAATTATCAAATCTATTACTAGAAATCAAAAGCGAAAATTGCCATCAAAGATCAAAAATAAGTTTACTAAAAGATTAAGAATGAAAGTTATACCACCAAAGAAGTACAAAATTATTGCCAAGATATGAAATCTAAGTACTTTTCAAGCTGAAATTTGGATTTTCCTAAAAAAAAGAAAGAAAAAAATAAAACAAAAAAAAAAGCTAATTACCAAAGTCTGAGGTCCTATGATTGCAAAATTTATGCCAAGGTCCATAAAAAAAAAAGTAAATTAATAATGTTTTAAAATCAAAAAATGCTAAAATGAGAGACATTTATTGCAATTTTAAAATCAATAACAAAGTTCAAGTTAAAATATTCCTAAATAAAAGAAAGAAAATCCATTAATAATGTCTTTAAATAAAAAAATAACGCCAAAACAAAAAAGAAAAAAGAACTCAAATCTACTTGTAACTTTAAGGTTTCTTGAAGTTCGAGTTCACTCTAAAAAAAAAGAATATTAGTAAGGTTTATAGACAAAAAAACACAAAAATAGTAAAAAAATTTGAGAAATAATACCTTCATACATTTTCCATACTTATAATTTCAAAAATCTGTACCAATATTCAGAATGTTTTGTCATAAAAAAAGAAAAGGAGAAAGAATATTATATATTTCAAGTAACAAACGTAAAAATAATGAAACTTCCACTATTCCTATTTATGATTTTAGACTTTATGCTATTAATACTATTCTAAAGAGAGGAGAGGAGAAAAAAAAAATTTCAAAATAAAATTTTTTCTTCATACGTCACAAAATCAAGATTTCCACCAATAAAAACCCATAATGTAACAAGTGATATTATCACAAGTATGATAAAAAGCAAAATATTAACTGTTAAAATATACATTTTTATAATAAATTTATATATGACCTTGAATTTTTATCTGAAATTTTATACTTTTTTTTACTATAACCTATTTTTGTAATATACTATTTTTGCATATAACATTTTCTTAAAATATACGTTTTTTTTCATATAACCTGCTCATTTAAAATACAAAATTTTATACTTATTTTACATATGACCTCTATTATAATTATCTGGGATCCTCAGCTACCTGATTGGTAACTAATTGGTAACTGATTGATGCCTAATTTTTTATTTTTTAATCTAAGTTATTCTAAATGATATGCCTCTTCAGACCATCTTGAGTTCAGAAATATTACAAAGAAAAGAAAAATAAAAAAAGTTTATTATTAAAGCAAAAAATAAAAATAAAAATAAAAAAATAAAATTTTATTATTTAGAAAAAAAATAATTATAGACCATTGCAAAAAGAGTTTTCTTAAATTAAACAATAAATTATATATATTAAATAATTATTCTATATGTAAATTTACAAAAAGAGATTTGTTTAAAGTCAAAAAGGCTGTTTTTTAGATAATTTTTAATAAAAATGCAAAATTTGATTTTTAGTTTTATTTATTAAAATATTTATTATTTAAATTGAAAATTATACATTTGTATTAGATCAAATAATTTTTATAAATACAGAAATTTCTGTGAAGTTCTTATTTATAATAAAAATATATTTGAAAGAAAATTAAGTTCTTAATAACATCAGGAAATTTTTTAGGGTGCAGATCTGCACAGTTCTGTGATTTTATAATTTCTGCATAATTTTTTAATGAAGATTGATGATGATTTGTATTATTTATATTTTACTTAATTTATTATCAAGTATTAATTCTAGAAATGCAATTTTATTACCATTAGATTCATTTTGTTAAGACGATTCCAATGAACTATATTTCATCCTTTTCTGATCATTAGATCAAAAGTTAGCAAACTGTGATGGTATTTGGTGAAAATATCAATCAGTCTAATCGGTCACCAATAAGGTTGCTTGCCGAAACCTAGGGGTTTAGGCAAGATGGCGTTTCGCCGAAAAGCGAAATTCTGCTGAAACTATATTAAAGTTATATTAAAAAACTGGCGAAACTTTGGAGAAAGGCGAAACTGCCGAAACTTATTATAAATGCCGAAACTGCCGAAACTCTGCCGAAACTATAATAAATCTATAGTAAAATTTTGACGAAACTAATCGTAGGATTTTGAAGAGGTTTAGACAAGCAACTTTAGTCACCAATCAGTTAATTGATTGGTAACCTGATGCCTGATTTTTCACTTTTCAACCTGTGTAAGCAAGTCTAAAGATAACAACAAGATGTGAACACTTTTAAGCAACTTTTATTAAATGGAAAAACTGAATTTTTGACATAAAAAAAGCTACTAATGAACTTTTTATTAATAAAAACTTTGTGGAATTTTACATACTAATATTCTTTATACTAACAGGCTCTCATCCTTTAAAATACTTGATCAAACTATTAAAAAGTACTTGAAAGCTTCTTAATATAAGAAATATTTATTCAAAGTTTACCTTTAGAATAATTTTACTAGTCTATTGAAATATTTCAAATGCGAATCTTTGATATTTTTTTTATTAAAATTCATGAAAACAATATAGCTACACTTTCTGATTAAACAACAACAAAAATTACTAATTAAAATACCTTTTGATGATTTTTGAATTAGATCATATATTCTTTAAACATATTTTTAAAGACTTTTCAGTAGTATTGCTGCTTGAAATTTATTTAAAGATAAAATTTAAAAATCTGAAATTCAAATACTTTATTTTAATGAAAAAATTGGTAAATTTGAAATTTTTCTAATTATAATTAATTTCAGAAAAGTATAAAACCAGTTTAGACAATTAAGTTTATTATAAAAAATAGTTTTAGATTGAATTTTGATTAAATTAAAATTTTGAAAAAAAAATTTTGGCAAGCATCCTTACTTTTTAGAATCTTTTGATGATATACAAATAATTACTGAATTTGATACTCCTTTTCCTTTTTGTATTACTTTAAACTAGATAAATAATTTTGGATTTTCCAATAGCTTTAATGGTATTATCTATAGCTTAATATTTACCTGATATTGTAAAATTAATTTTGAATTTATTTTTAAATAACTTTCAAGTACACGTTTAGACTTCATTTTTGGTTATTTTTTACTTTAAGGAAGAAGAAGAATTGTGACAAACTTTCCTATAAATATAGTATTTTTGTTTTCCAGTATTTTTGTGCAAATTTTTATAAAATTTATATTTTTTTTTATTTATATTTCATTTATTTTTTGTTTTATTTTTTCTTTTTACTTTATATTATAGATAGAGCTGTTATGTGGTTTGATAGGTATTGTGAATTTATGATTAGATTTTCAGTGGGATGTTTATATTAAAAATCAGGGTTTTATTTGATGGATAGCTTTCATATCTCTATATACCTTGATGACCAATATAACTATAGGCCTATTAAATTTATTATTTTAATGCATCATGAGGAAGTAGTTAAAGTCCAAAAAGGACTTCAGTCCAGTCTTTTTATTGTTAATTCTATTGGATCCTATAGAGTAAAGGTGAACCTCTTTATGAAGTTTACTTGGATTTGGTATTATTTTGAACTTAGTGAAGTGTTTCAGGAAAAATCTTTTTTTATCATGGTGCAATAAGTCCTGTAAATCCTTCACATAAAAAGAGAGGCTTTTGTTAAGAAAGATCATTTATACATGTATCTTACTCTCTGAATGTAATTTCCACCTGACAGTACACATGTAAGTATTTTTTAATATGACGAGTAGTTGGTTAGTTAATAATATTAGGATCTTATTATATAGGTTTTTACATTTATGTAATTTCTATACTTTTAACTCTTAATAAACTAGTGAATGTGCTGCGTTTAAAAAAAAATTATTTAATTTAATATTAATCTTATAAAATTAATAAAATCAAACTGGTTAATAGACAATCACCATTCACCACTGGTAACATTTTATATTAAATATTTATTACAAAATTTCAATACTTATTAAGAATAACACAATTTTTTTTCAAAATTGCAAAAATTAAATTCATAAATTATATTTTAGAACAAATATGAATATTTAAATATTAATCTTTTATTTTCTTTTATAAAAAAGCAGATGTAACTTCTGTAAGTAAATAAAATAGTTTGAAACCTATTTATTATTTTTTTAATTTTCTTTTTAAAAAAAACAATAATTTATAATCTATTTGTAAATGTATATGATTATATGATTTACAAAAATAATATAATTATGTACTGGATATATATTTAATATTGGCCACATTCTGTTATAACTACTTGTAACTTAGGTCGATTTCCAGGTCCAGTAGAAACATTCTCAATTTTTCTTAATGTAAGTAATCCATCAATAAGTTTTCCGAAAACCACATGTTTTCCATCAAGAAAATCACATTTAGCACATGTAATAAAAAACTAATTCTTAAATTAGTACAAATATAATAAATATATTGATAATAATTTCAAACAAATACCTGACATCCATTTGAATTTGGGCCACTATTTGCCTAATTATAATGAGTCAAAGAATCATATTAAATAAGGTAAAATAAAGAAAAAATAGTAATCTTTAAAATTTACCATCGAAAGTAATCCGGGACCAGTATGTTTTAATTCAAAATTTTCGTCTGGGAATTTTTCTCCATATATACTAAATGATCCAGTCCCATCGTTCTAGATAAGATATGAATATTCTTTTAATTTAAATTATAAATCATTATAACAAACAAAATAATAAATCAAGATCAACTTAAATTACCTTTACGAAATCACCACCTTGGATCATAAAATCTTTTATAACTCTTTAATTAAACATATTTAACAAAATGAAATCAATCAAATGTTTGTAGTAATTTATTTGCAAGAGGAATTACTTACCTATGAAATTGCGCATTTTTATAACCTTGCGGAACCCCATTTTTTCTATAAATTGATTTATACAAAGTTAGAAGAACGAAAAGAAAATTCATTGTTCAAGCAATAAAATTGTAACGTTTAATGTTAAGAAAACATTATACTTACTTGAATTCTCCTGTACATAATTGTCTATAAAATATGTAATCAATTGAACGAACTTAAATAAACTTTCAAACAACCTTACCAAATTCATTTACCTAAAATTCTCGGCAGTTTTAGGTACGACATCCGCAAATAATTCCATTTTCATTCTACCCGCCGGTTGGTTTCCGATCGAAATATCGAAAAATACTATAGGGTTTTCTTTTTCCGACATTTTTCGTGTTGAAAATGGAAAGAATTTAGGACTAAAAAATTTATCGGCAATTTGTACAAAAATCAAAATCAAAATATCACGTGAAATCACGAATGACGTAATCAAAAATTAAATCAGCCAAAAACAAAATCACAAAATAATAACGGTTAAACATTTCACAATTTTTTTCGTGACTTTTAAAAACATACGATTTTTAAGATGCCGCGACCCTCAAAACCAATTAAAAGAAGTATATTAGAAAGCAGGAATGCAAAAATTACAAAAAATGGTAAATATTTTTTAATAAATATAAATATAAATATTGTAGTATTTTTCTCAGGGCCTTAGGGCTTGTCAGCATAAATATAAATATAAATATTGTAGTAATAATGTATAATATAAATTATCTATAATTTAAATTTTTACAGAAAGAGACTCCGAGAACACGAAATTTGAAGCTTCAGAAGCAGTTTCATCAAGAGATGAAAAAATAAATGATGGACCAGTTTTTAACCTTGTGTTGACACCAGATATATTAAATGATCTTGAGAATTCTTCTTTGGAAAGAAAACTTATCCTGTCCACAAGATTTAATTCTGGTAGAAGTTCCCCCCCTATTGAAATTTCATCTTCATCTGGCGATGAAGAATTTTTCTATCATTTATCATCATCTAGAGAAGTGGGACGTTCATTTCCCGCCAAAGCATTGTCTTCATCGGAAGATAATAAGAAATCTTTACTGGGAGAAAATAGCTCATTAACAAATTCAAATGAATTGTCTCAAGGGCAAAATTTATCAACACCCAAAAGACATAAAAGAAAAGTATTTTTAATTAAACAGAAACCGAAAAAAGAGATTGAAACGAACAGCGAAGACAACGATAGCGATCCTTTTGGGTTCAGAAAAGCTGAGAAAAGGAACATGGAAAGAAAAGGTCAAAATAAATTTGATAAAATTTCGGATTGTTCCGAAAAATTCGAAGTTACCACCACTATTAATAAATATAGCCAATATATTGATAACGTTCCGAGTGAAATGATTTCTCAGAGCATTTCACTTAATAAAGAAAATGACGTCAATGGTTCTGGTGACCTTTGTGAAATTGATAAAAAAGACTGGAAGAGAAGTCAGGAGAACAAAGAATATAATACTTCAATCGAAAACAGAAAAGATGATAATCAGGTTGATAATGATAATAATCAACCTATACATGATGAGGATCACCTTTCAACAGACATTGATAAAGAGTCTTTGGAAGTGACTCCCTTAAAAACTGCAAGAGATAAAAATAAAAAGGAGGAAAAGAAATTGCCAAATGCTACGCCTTCGAAATTAAGAAAAATTTCAAATATTACAAAAACTGCAGACTTAGTAACTCTCTTACCTCCTCGTCGTCGGCAACGTGCATCTAAAAACAAGATTAATGATTATAGCAATACTCAGTCTGATGATGGGGGGGAAGTAGTGTCTCTTTGTGAGGAGGAAAATTCAAACTATAAGAAAACACAAAAACGAAAATTACAAGAATTACTAAAAATGCAAAATGAGAAGAGTGAAAAGAAAAAGACTAGAAGGATCAAGAAGGGACCTTTCACTTGTGAGCCAAAAGAAATAGATGAGGTAAGAGGGATAATTAAAAAATTCTTTTAAAAAGAAAGAAACGGAAGGAACTTACATTAATGACCCTTTAATATTCAAGAAAATCAAACAAGAGCACACGAAACGTATTCGACATACAGAAGAGATTGATAGTTTTGTGCTGGTCGAGGAAATCGTTTACTAATCAACCCAAGAAAATCAATTTGAAATAATTAGTTTCTTTCATTGTCGCAAAAAAATGAAGAGATTGAAAACTTATAAGTTGAAATTATATGTATTTTAAAGTAAAAATTAGATGGGCATTTATATGGTTGGGCATATAATTAACGAATACCATCTGGCAATTAAAGTGAAAAATAAAGTAAAATGTTCGATAGAAATCTTCGTACAATAAAATTAATCAATAAAAACTGCTTTGAACAATAAAACTGCGTTTGTATAAATAAAACAAAACTTGTATAATTGATATTTGAAATGAATAACTTTAGGCAAAATATCAATTGATTAAATCTCAAAATTAAAAAAAAAAAATTAAGGCAATTATTAACTAAAAATATAATTGAATAATAATAATTAATTGAAGCTGTTTTTTTTTTTAAGAAAAAAAAAAAAATAAAAAAAATAATAAAAAAAAAAAATAATAAGGCTATTATTTTATCCTTTTTTAATATATTTCCTTTGTATATTTTGAAAATTTTTATAGGTATGTAATAATAAAATGCAATCTATGACCAACCAGGGCTTTATAAAAAAAAAGAAAAAAAGAAAAAAAAAAAGATCATCAAAATAAAATTAAAATCAAATAATACAATATATTTCTTTTAAAAAAAGGTTTAATTAAGTCAACAGGGTAAAAAAAAAGTATATATAATGAAAACGAAAAAAAAGCTAAAAAAAGATAGGACATAAAAAAGAGGGGGAAGCTTATAATTAGATACAAGGAAAACGAAATCAAATATAAGGGAAAATTTGGTATGATCAAAAATAATTATGTAATTTAGTTAATTAGAGTGATCGAAAAGAAATGAAAGATCGAATAAATTAACCATTGGAATAAACTGAAAATAGATCACTCTATTCAACTAAAGAAAAGAAAAAAACTATGAAACCTAAAAAAAAAGTGAAAAGGGAATGGGTAGAAAAAAATGAAATTATTACCATCTATATAATATTACTTAAAGAACTTTGAAAGGATCAGAAAATTAAACATTGTTCGCCATTTTTTTTAAGAAAAAAAATAAAAATAGAAAAAAAATCCCACACCCATTATTTGAAATATTATAAGATCACCCAAACAATCCAATAGACCAACGGGTCATAGAAACAAATTTTTTTGAAAAAAAGGTAGAACAGCCAATCATCGTATAATATATAAAAAGGATAAACTTTAAAACAATTTTTTAATAAAGAGGCTTCAGAAGACCGAATAATAAAAGGAGAGGGATATATATATATAATGCAAGAAAGCGAAACTTTATATTATATAGCTATAAGAAAAATAAGGATGAGATCAAAAGGAAACCCTCAACCATAAATTCCACCCTTAGCGAGACCAAATTTTTCTCTATCTACTTAATAATACTAAAGTAAATGAATAACTAAGAAAACAAAAAGAAATAATACTTAATATTCCTCAAGTACAAAGTATTCGTAAGGTTCTTACTAACCACTTTCCATTATTCATCTACTTCTTCACCGACTTCGTCGTCAACGCCATCGATATTTCCTGCTTCTGAATCACCTGCATGAAGAACTCTAGCATCGGATTCTCCGTTGTTGCGTCCTTTAGTCTTTCCGCCCGTACCATTACTTGAGCTAGCAGAAGCATTTCGTGGAGGATTGCCACAACGATCCTTGCCATAGTTGATACGAAATTTTTTATATTCTTCTTTCGACTTTATATTTTCAATGGCTTTCATGGCAGATGTGATTGAAGTAAAATTGACAAATCCACAGTTTTTTTCCTTAAGAATATTAACAAGTTCAATTTCACCAAATTCAGAAAAGTCTCTCTTAAGTTTTTCTTCACTCATATTGTCATCAATTTGTCCAACATAAACGTTTCGAGAGGCACTTTGAGTATTAACAGCCAGTTGAATATATCCCGGTAAAGGTCCTGGATTTTTCCCCCAGCCAATCTTAAGGCGGCGATTCTTAACCATAACTCCTGCTTGTTGAGCCAAATACATAAAACTATTGGCAGAGTTAGGGTCAATAAAAGTGATAAAAGCTATATGTTTTTCTGGCATATACCGAATTTGTTGAAGAATTCCACCTCGAATGACATTACATATTTCTTCGCAAGATGTATCTGGATGAATATTGCCAAGATAAATCGTACGATTACCAATAGCGGAACCAGAAGTTGCACTACCAGCCGCAGATGAAGCAGAAGAGAAAAGGGGACTAGTAGGACTTCTTAATTCAGAGCCATTATCAAGATGACTAGTAGCGGCAACAACTGCATTTTGATATGGATCAAAACTCGCGAAACCCATATTACTGAAACTTTGAAAATTAAGTCCGGTTGGAAACGCATATTGGGTCGTCCCATTTCCTATATTAGGTCTCTGAGCACATCGATCCTTTCCATAATTTACCTTTTTATTGGCATATTTAGATTCAGTTGGCAAGCTTTGTACAGCTTTCATGGCACTAGCAATAGTCAAGAAATGAACAAAACCAATGTTCTTTTCTCTAACAATCTTGACGGTATCAATAGGGCCATATTTAGACAAATCTTCTCGTAAAGTACTTTCTGTGATTGTTTCATCTAAGTTACCCAGATAAACGTTACGCGTAGCATTTTGAGTAGAAACTGCAACTTGAACATTTACAGGTACCGGAGAAGCTTTACCCCACCCGACCTTCAATTCTTGCCCTTGGATAAGAATTTTGCGAGTTGAAGCATCTTGATAAAAATTCATAGCTGCAGCACCATCCATAAACGAAATAAAAGCACAACTTTTATCAGCAAGTATACGGACCGATTCTATTGGGCCAACTCTAACTTGATTAAGAATTTCGTCAACTGGTGCGTCCGGAGGAAGATTTCCGAGATAAACGGTTCGACCAGTTGCATTTGTAGGAGCAGCGGCGACGGCAGTTTGTTGGTAAGAAGTGGGAAACTGTGCGGCGGAAAACGCCCCAGAAAATTGAGGAACCATGCTACTGACGTTGGGAGTATATTGACTCATTGAGGTAGCGTATTGCGATTGGTGATATCCGCTCATGGTTGCAAAGTGGCCGGCAGTATGACCTGGATGATGGTGAAAACCAGCTGTACCTTGAGAGTATGAAGGGTTACCCATCATCATAGCTGATGGACCAACAGGAGGAAAATGACTGTATAAATCACTATTTGAAGAACCTTGTACAAGGTCACCTCTCATACCTCCACCCAAAGAGTAATTGTTACCGCTGTAAGCGCTTTGTCCAAAACGTGGTTTTTTCTGGTTGTTATCGTGGCTTTGATTTCCGTAATCGTTAGGACGTTTCATTGTTGATTTGTCAGTATAACTCTCAGTCCCAAATCCTTCCGAATGGGAGAACAACATAAACACAAGTAATAAATGTAAAGGTCGTATTGGTGGAAAAAGACCGTCAAAAATTGAGCTCGTATCCTCGAACTCTATTAAAAGGAACAATAAAAGTGAATGACCCCTAATATAAAGTTTCTTTTGATGAACCTATAAGAAACGCTTGGGGATTTTTTTTTTTTTTTTCGAAAAAAATTTTTTTTTTTTTTGATGTGTATGTGATCAATCTGAAAGCTAGTCTTCAAAGACCCCTAAATTTTGTACAACTATTCGTCACAAATCGGTAAATTTCGGCAAGAAAAGTTATTCGTTAATTGGCCAGCATTAAACAAACTTATCAATAATTGGACATGCAAATAGCAAATATTTACAAATAAGTTCCCAAATTATTCAAATTATCCGATCTAAATTATTAAATTTTAAATTCTAGTAGAGTTTCATTGAACACCCACCCTGCGGCTTATATATTAGGAGTATACAATAAGCAGTATTTATTTAATGAGTAACTAAATTTTATTTTCAAAATATAATATTACAAATATATTTTAATAAATTGTATTTCAGGGTAAACAACGTCCCATAAATCTTGGGTATAAACAACATTCTTTCACATTATCACGATGTAATAACCAAGCCAAAAAGCGCTCAACACCTAATCCAAAACCTCCATGTTCAGTTGTACCATATTTTCGTTGGTCTGTATACCAATAATAAGGTGTAGGATTAATTCCTATGTAGTAATAAAATGAAGGAAAAGGTTAGAAGGAATAAATTGAATAAATTGGAGAAAATAATTTAAAAATTATTTTACCTTCTCTCTTATATCCCGCTAACAATTCATTCATGTCTGAAATTCTCATACTGCCACCAACAACTTCTCCTACACCAGGAATCAAAACGTCCACACTTTCTGTTACACGATTATCTTCAGCGCATCGTTTCATATAAAATGCTTTTATCTCAGCGGGAAATCTACAAAGGAAAATTGGTTTATTGATTTGATCTGTCATAGTACGCTCAGGAAATTCCGGAATATCTTCACCAAATTCATAAAAACTACCATTTTCTTTTTTTATGTTATGGTCTTTGAGGTATTGAATCGCATCTTTATAGTCCATACGTAAAAAAGGACGCTGAGGAGGTACAAAGTCTGGGTGAAGTTGATAAACTAATTTGCGAGTCGTTTCATTTGCAAGAACACGATCAACCGTATCGCAAATCAAATCTTCCAAAGTATCCAACAAATCATCAAATGTGATAAAAGCCATCTCAGCTTCCAAATGGGAATACCTTTTATGTATTAATGATTAAATAATTTTTTTAAAAAAGTTGTAAAATAAGGTTTGGATGGTAAAATAAAAACTTACTCAGATAAATGACGACGGGTATGTGATTTCTCAGCACGATAAGATTCTGAAATACAATATACATCTCCAAGTGATGGGAGACATGTTTCGAGGTATAGTTGAGAGGTTTGTGTAAGATATGCCTAAAATAACTAATGCTTAAAAATAAAATAGTAAATCAAATTTTAAGAGAAATCTTTATATTTCTCACCTTTTCACCATAGTAATTCATTTCGAACAATGTACTCCCGCCCTCGACTTGAGTTTGGACCATACAAGGAGGATTAACTTCTGTAAAACCTTTACTATCGAAATGATCGCGAAACGCCTTCATAATTGCAGATCGAGCCTTTAACACGGCAGATGCAGTTTCTCCTCGAATAACAAGATGGCGTTGTTCATATAATATTGATGGATCTGCATCAGCATTAAGTTTGTTAGTAAATGCATCATCGCCACCTGGTGCATGATGATTAACTTCCCAATAATCAGCGAGAAGCTCGTGATTATCAGGTGCCTAACAATTAAAAATATTCATTAATAAAAGGAAAATAAGAAAATAAACGACGATATAAAATTTACCGTTTTCCCAGCAGGCAATTCTGATATGACTCCATAAATTGTAACAGTTGATTCGAGGGATAAAATCAACGCATCATATGTATGACACTAAAGAATAAAATGCAGTTACAAAATTTGCAATAAATAACTGAAACAGTCTAAATTTAGACACAAACCAATTCTCCGGTAAGAAGGCATTGAAGATAACCAGAGCCATCTCTCAGAACTATAAATTTCATATCCTTTCCTTGTGTGCGAAGGCGATGAACCCATCCGGACACTTTAACGCGTTTTCCACGACTAGCAACCGATTGCCGAATTTTTATCTAATTATTATTATTTATTTATTTTGTAAATTTGCTAATTTATTAATTGAAAGGTTATCTACGTTCTATTTACCTTTATGGCTAGTGGAAGATTAGGATCTTGCTTAAGAACGATTTTTTTTGCTTCTTCCAATTTTCTTTCTTCTTCTTCTCGTTGAAGTTTTACCTTTTCAGCTTCCGCTTTCTTTTTTTCATCCTCTTTTTTGGCCTTTTTTGCCAATTCTTCAACTCTCTTCTTCGCCTTTTTCAAAGCAGTACCCGATATGTCTTTGTATCCTTCTTCGGGAGTTTTTCGGACTAGGATGCTTATATTATCACCTTTTACCTGAAGAGCACGAACAGCCGTTTTATAGGGTGCATTCTGAGTTCCAGTAGAGGTTTCGTCAGAGCCATTCACCTCGTCAATATATACGGTTTCACCTATATGTTTAAAAAATTTTGGCAAGTTGTAAAATAGATAAAGCGGATAAAATTTAAATATTAACTAACTGGATTTTACAGAAGGTTTTTGTAACGTTTCAGCCATTGAACAGTAAATTAATTTATTTATAACTAAAAGTTCTTTAAAATTTATTAACGCGCAACTTATAAAAAAAATCGATCTTCGAATTGAATGATCAGACGTGCACCACCAAAACTGTTGGCCAATCGAAGTGAGCCCATAATGGTTTGCATCACATACACTCATACTGAGTCATAAAAAGACAAATATTACTATTTAACGTTTCCTATTGGATGAGAGGATTTAAAAAGCCGGAAAGGATAGTAAATCTACTTTGGTTAATTAGAAATCATTTTTGTTGGGCTTCTAATTTATTAGAACCTAGCCTATTTTTAAAAAAAATTCAAGGTAAAGTATGTTGCAAGTTTACTATAATAGATTCATCTATAACGATAATGTTTAAGTATTAAGCCATTAAGCTACATGATATCTTTTATAATTAAACATTTTACTACTTTTTTTGAAAAATTTTTATTTAAAATATCAATCACTGCGCATGTAAGGGCATATTGAAAATTATGGTGCTATGTATGTAGATCAAAATCGGCTAAAATATGATTTTCTAATCCATAATTCTGGCCAAATTTTGCCAATTTTATAATGCCGGCCTAAATTTGATAAAAATTGAAAAAGGCAAGCCAAATGTAACATTACATTTTATAAAATAACTATGAAGTGCCATACTAATCAAAAGTCTGGGGTTTGAACCCAAATTAAATCCCAGATTTATCTGAGGTGAAAATGGATTAATTTATATTTTATTTCTGATTTTCCTATATTTTACTCTGGATTTGATCCATATTTTATCCTGAATTAATTCCTTAAATTTCACCAAAAATTACATCACATCTAATTATTATATCCTGGATTAATCTATATTTGATCCCAGATCATATGGGCCAATTTTTGGAAGGCTAATTAATCAATGCACCTGACATACTTCATTTGCTCATAAACCAGTCTAGGCTTTTCCTTTTTTGGTATAAAGACATATGTAGATCACTAACTAAATATATGCCACACCTGCTACCCTGGGTCAGCGCCACCTCATTCACCCGCCGATCATGACCTATAAAAGGCTGAAAGGTCATACCAAAACCCCACTGATGAGTCATAATCGATACTAAAAATTTGGGCAGCTGCCCGCAGCTGCCCTTTAAACAAATCACGTGTACATGAAAAAAAAAACAAAAAAGGAGCGCGTAACGCTTTTGTAAGGGCCGTTTTTGTATTGCTCCCGTCGTTGTCCTCATTTATAAAATAAAACTATTTTTTAAAAATAAAAGAGAAACTAGTTGTTTGTTGTTTTTTTTTTTACTTGTTTAAAATCTTTACATTAAATGCCAAATATTTTCTTTACAGTACTACGAAGTGCATATTTTTTATTATATTTTAATAAGGTATATATTATATATTTTTTATCCGATTATTTGTACTGTAATTTAATAAAAGTTGGTTTATTTTTATAAAATCTTTTTATATTTGTAGTTTTTATTTTGATATGACAAAAAGAAAACGAATTTCAGTAGAAAAACAATGTCAATTACGAGAACTAGCAGCTAAAAGGCAAGCTGAAAATCAACAAATTGCACATGAATTAAAAATACCCATTAAAGAAATAGAATACTGCTTAGACCGAGCTGTAGTAGAAATAAAAAAAAAGAAAAGACGACATAGTGGATTTGATTTATTTAAAATTGACTGGTTTAAAAAAAATCAAGGGTATAAAGCCATTGATAAACATACTAGCAGTTTAATTAGTTATGAATGGAATGCCATATCTCTTGCTGAAAAAAATGAGTATGCAGTAAAGCTCTAAATGGTCCGGGTTGGTCCGGGTTAGAGAGTAATCCAGGACCGGACTGAAAAATTAGTTCATTTCGGTCCAGTCCGGTTTATATTAAAAGGAGAATCCGGGACCAGACCGGACTAGACCAGTTATTTTGGTCCAGTCCGGTCCAGTCCTATAATAAAAAAACGTTGCGCAAATGTTTTTTCTAATTAAATATACTTAGAAAAAAATTTCGCAACGTTTTTTCTTTTAATTAATTAGAAAAACGTTGCACAAACGTTTTTTTAATTAAATATACTAAGAAAAAACGTTTCGCAACGTTTTTTCTTTAAATTAATTAGAAAAACGTTGCACAAACGTTTTTTCTAATTAAATATACTAAGAAAAAACGTTTCGCAACATTTTTTCTTTAAATTAATTAGAAAAACATTGCGCAAACGTTTTTTTATAATAATATGTTAAAAAAAACATTACGCAACATTTTTTTTATTTAATAATTAAATAATCGCAACAGTTTTAATATAAACTATTGCAAAAATATTTATCAGTCCGGTTCAGTCCCAACCCGTTTTTTCAGTCCGAGTTAGATTTATAATCCGAAATCGGACTGGACCGGACCAAATATTTTGGTCCGGGTTGAAGCATCAACCCAGACCGGACCAATCCGAATTTTCAGTCCGGGTTGTTGGATTAGGACTGACCCGATTAGAGCTTTAGTATGCAGAAAAAGCTAGAGATATGCCATCATCAAATCGTACTTCAACAAAAAAACCATTATTACCTGGTAATTCTCATTTGTATCAAGAACGTAACAAAATAGTAAATGAATTAAATTCTATTTGTGATCATATGTCAATAGAATTGGGTTTGGAAACTGTTGTATTTACAGGATCAAAATTACCATGTGATAGTTATGCAGGTAGATTAGGAAGTAAGACTGGATTGAATATTGCTAAGGAATTGGAGTGGAATGAATTACAAACTCAAGTTGCTGTTAAAGCCCAAAATACTCAAATTACATGTAAGCAATAATTATAAATATATTCTTATATAAATATAAATTTAATTAATTTATTAATTTATCTATATTTTCAATTTATTTAGGTATGCCAAATACTACCATTGAAAATCCCAAAAAAAATAAAACACTTGCTCGAGCATATGTTACTAAATCACTAAATGAATTATATATCAAAGCTGGTGGAATTGGAAAAATTCAATTTAAAAATTGGGAAAACCAAAAAATGGAAGTAGTTGGTTGGCCAGAAGAAATACCATTTCAAAAAGCAGGAAAACAGAATAAAAAAAACCTTGATCAGATAATTGATTGTATTTTAGAAAACAAGATTACATTTCAATCTTTTTAGTCTTTTATAATAAAAACAGGGGGGGTTTTTTTTTTTTTTTTTTTTTTTTTNNNAATTTAATCTTATCAAATGATAGGAAGTAATCGGATGGATAATTTAATAGATTTGCATAAAATTTACTAAAAAAATCAATTAATATTTGCGTAAATATCACATTAAATTTATTTATTTTTTTTTTTCTTACAGTACTTTATTTTTTTTTTATTAAAAAACAGAATTTTTTTCTTTAGTAAGTTTAAATTCAGTTTTGAATTTTTATTATTGTAAATAAATTTAAAAATAATAATTATATATATTTGTAATTCAAAAAAAAAAAACAAAAATGTCTACTAATAATGAAACAAAAAAATTAGCTAAAATGTTAGAAAAACCTGAAAATGAATTTTTTGCAAAAACTGATACAGAAAAATGAACATTTTTAGGTTTTTTAAACTATAAATATATAACCCAATCCAATTTTTTTACACGTAATGAAAGATATGAAAGTGGATATTATAATTCATTCATAGATTTTTATAAATACATTAATTCTGAAATATCAGAAAAATTAAAAATAAATTATAAGGTAAATAATAAATTTCTTTATTTTTACATTTTTACTTATATGAAATATAATTTATATATATATATTATAGAATGATAAAGAATCACCTTTTGTTAAAGGGTGGTGGCATGGAATTGGAATTAATAATTATGAATCTTTATTGGAATTTTCCCAAGGATTCAATTTTGGATCAAATCAAGTAATACTTAAAGATAAAGCTTCTGAAAATTTATATCTGAATCAATATAAGGTAATATATATATTAATTACTATTTGTTTTTATATTTAAATAATTGTATAAAAAAATAATTGCTAAAATTTATGTATATATTTTTTTTAGAAAATTGAATGGATATTAAAATCAAATAAAAATGTTTTTTTGATTTTTAAAGAAATTTTAAAAGATGTAGAAACAAAGTATTATGAGTAAGTAATATAAAATAATTTGCATATTTTTAATATTTAACAATATTTAATATATTTAATAATATTATTAGTTCTATACAATCATGTATAATTGATTGTACACCATCAAGTAGAAAAAAATACTATAAATTATTTACTGAAGATGAATGGAACGAAATTTGCGATGCAAATTTATCATCTTATCAAGAAGATGATTTTATTATATATAGTTCTATTTCATCACATATTAAAAAATCATTCAAATGGATAGAGGATAAACAAAGTAATATTTTAACTTTACCTTTACCTTTATTTGAAGAAAATGAATTAAATATTGAAGCAAATATATATAATTTCATTTTACAATCAATGTACGTAAAAATTTTTTTTTAATATATATAGTTTTATATGTATTTTATTTATTTTTTTTAATTTTATAGGGAAAAAAATTTTTGGTGTCACAATGAAGAATATCTTAAAGAAATATCTGAAATACAATTTACTTCAAATATTCTTTATGATATATTTAACCATATTTTTTATTTTTTAAATAAAAATTTAAAAGTACAACTGTAAGTAAAAAATAATGTTATTTATATAAATAAGTATAATTACTAATAAATAATAAATATATATTTTTTAGTGGAGATAAGATGAATTTGGGATTCCAAAATAGAAAACATCTTTTTAACCAATTATTTAATAATAAAAATAATTCTGATTATGGCAGAAAATCAGATTTTTTTGTTAACGATAACCAAAATAATGTTTTTTTATTGGCGGAAGTTACAGGACCTCCATATAAAAGAAAACCAAAAAAAGAACTTTTCGATTATGGTCGTAACCATCAAAATGGAAAAGATGAACTTGAGTATCGTAACTTATCAATAATATATAAGTATGGTTCATCTTTAACTGAAGAGCATATTGAAAAATTAATGAAAGTAATTAATATATTTTTATTACAAATACATAGTAAGTAAAATTTTATATTTATTATTTATAAATTTAAAAAATACTAATAATTTTAAATTACTAAATAATAGCTAATGTTTTAAATATTAATATTTTGGATCAACCGGGAAGTAACTTATACCGCTCAAAAATTTTTATTGATAAAATAAAAATACCATTACAAAGAAATAAAGAAGAAGTTCTTACTTTTATAAGAATAATAATTAATATTTATGTAAGTTAATTTCATTTTAATAATTATATATCATATATAATATATTATATAATACTAATTTAATTTATTAATTATTATATATTAGAAAAAAATTATAGATTATTATAATGTATTTAATGATATATTAAATTCATTAAATCAAGATAAAAATTCTAGTCAACCAGATGAATACCTTACAAAACCACTTTCAATCCATGCAAACCAATTATTATATTCATCAGCAATAACATGTCCAACACCAAGATCTTCACCTGAATGAGACATTTTTTCTAATACTCATTATACATCAATATTTAATCAAAATTTTGACAATTTACAAGAATTCCAAAAGTATATAGATAATCTTAACAAAAATAATAATACTCAAGATTATAAAGAATTAATATAGCTTTCACCTCACATAAATCCTACTATCTTAAATGAAGAAGATATTTCCTACGAAAAAATTTAACTAAATGTAAGTATTTTAAAATACTTTAAACTAATATTTTAATTAATATATTTTATAGATATATATAATTTTTTATTTATTATATAAATTTATTAAAATTACTTTAATTTTAATTTCTCGTAAGTGATTGGGTATTTAATTACTTATGTAATTAAATTATCCTCGTAGCTGATTGAAGTTATAATATAAGTAATTTTTTTAAATTTATATAAAAAAAAAATTAATTTAAAAAAATTATAATGTTTATTTTTTTATATATTTTGTATATAATTTATAATTTAATTTTAAGGATTTTGTAATTTATCGACCTCCCGATGCATCGACCCCCCTATGTGATCAAATCACGAAACATACATATATATAAATAAACCTTTATTTATTAATAATAAAAAAAAATTGCTCAGTTAGTTCAATTGGTAGAACACTTGATAATATACTTTTTATCATAGAGATGCAGGTTCGATTCCTGCACTGGGTCTTTTATTTGTTTATTTTTTTTTTTAAACATCCGAGTTTCGTTCAGTGACTAAGTCACATTACATATAACACGTGATTAAATATATGCGCATACGTCAAAGCGCATTCAAGAATGATTAACAGTAAAGAAAGCATTAACGAATCTTTATTCACTAAAGAACTAAGCATTACAATTCTTTTGATAATGTCCCAAATTGCCACATTTCTTGCAACGCCTTCGTTGCTTTGTTTTTTCGCTCTGATCCTTCTCATTCGATGCTTTATACCTTCTTGTACCCGCCTGTCTTCCTTTACCTCGCCTTATTTTTGGATTTCCTAGCTGGAATGGGTTTATATTCTTCTTGTCACTCTCGTCAAATTCTTCCTCACCTAATCTTTCGTCTTCAGATTCAAATTCGCTATCCTCATTGGCAAAATCCTCTAGAATTTTGATCAAGCGTAATGAATCTGTCTTCGTCTGTAAAGCTTTTCGCAAAGCTTTTTTATATGTCCCATGAAGTGTACCATACATGATCTTTTCATCAAGAAGATTCATCCGATGTTCAAGAAGGTCTTCCTTTTCTTTATCAATAGCACATAGATATCCAACATTATTTTCTTGTATCGCATTTGTGGACATTCCTTTTTGAAACTTATCAGCAACAATAAATGCTTTATGCGACGCTTCTTTATCTTTTTGATACCATCTAGATGGTATAAGTCGAATATGAAACCTAGCTTTGCAAGTATTTAACATTACTTGAAAATAATGTCTTCAAACTACCCCTTTTTGAATAACCATTAGGCAAGAACACATATGCGCATCGTTCTTCAGTAGAATTATATAATGCTTCGCTATTAACGAATTTCCTACTCTAACCGCCCATATTTCCTTCACATTATCACGACCACTAACTTCTATTAATTGTTCTATAGTAGCCCGAGGACTTTCAGCACATTCATCATCATATTATACTTCATTAATTACAACAATATCTTGTTCATTGATCGGATTTGCAGCATAATAGAGGGACTGATTGATTTCATCGCGTTGCAACTTTAGGATTGCTGGCTTGAGAAACCTCTGACAATATTTATCCACCTCAGTGAAAAGGAAATTTGCATGCTCCTGATTCTTAACGGAAGGTATTGCGAGCTTCCAGTATTGATATATGTTCTTTTTATCCTGTTCATCAAGTAACTTATGTATTTCTGACATAAGTTCGCATAGAGAGACGTCAGAGTTGAATAGCATTCTTTTAATGCATGCATTTACAGATTCAACGCGAGAAGTAGCAATCATTCCTCCGGTGAATCTAAAACTTGTGCCCAGTACTCCTTTGATGTGTATAATCCCTCTAGGTAAGTCTTGCTTTGGGGATAGTCCTCAATCAATTTCGTAAAATGATTGTGAAATATTGTTCGGACAAGGCTATTTCTACATCGGTAAAAATCTTGAAGAAATTTTTCATAATTATCTCCAAGAGGCTTTCGGAAGTTTTTATGAAGATTTTGCGTTATATGAAATGCGCAATGAACTGGATACGTTTTCGTAAATACAGTCAACTCCCTCTATAGTCACTCCCGTTATAGTCACATTCTACTATATAGTCACACCAGTTGAATGTTCAAAACACTTTATTATTAAAANTCCTCTAGGTAAGTCTTGCTTTGGGGATAGTCCTCAATCAATTTCGTAAAACGATTGTGAAATATTGTTCGGACAAGGCTATTTCTACATCGGTAAAAATCTTGAAGAAATTTTTCATAATTATTTCCAAGAGGCTTTCGGAGGTTTTTATGAAGATTTTGCGTTATATGAAATGCGCAATGAACTGGATACGTTTTCGTAAATACCTCCTTAACTGCAGCGTCAACGGCCAGATCGGAATCTGTCATAATTACAGTTGGATGAATACCAGTAGCTTCAACAATCTGTCTAAAAAGCTAAGCGTGAGATTGCTTGCTTTCATCAATGGTTAAACCTTGTGCAAAAATAATGTTTTGCATATTTCGATCGAATCTCACGAAAAGAGATAACGCCATCCTGTATCGATTCGTTTTATGCGTAATGTCATTGATAACGCAATCGCTGAATTGAATCCAGCTCTCTACCTGCTCCGGCATCATCCATAACAAATGCGTTAACGTGTTATCGTCATCTCATCCTCGCGCTATGATCTATCTAGAATCTCGTTCTTTTTGCTCATCTAACCAATCTGACATTTGCGCAGCGTCATTTGAAAGTGACTTCGCCGTGGGTCGAAACTTCTTGATCGTTGCATATAAGTCTTGACTGTAAATGGGTTGAGAAGGATATTTTCCTTCCAAATATCTTCTCTGCGCGGTCGCTCCTATTTTACAGTGATCGGTCATAAATTGGATATCCCTTACCATTTCATCATTAAACTTCTTATCTTCCCTAAACTTAACTGCTTCGACGCTCAGGTCATGATTATGTTCATCCACAATTTTATTAATAAAAATCGCGGAATCTGGATTATTCACTTTGGGACAAGAAGCATTAACATGCCATGGGCATAAAATCTTTTTGGTACTAGTTTCTTTCGCAGATTTGCACGTATATTTTCTTCCATGTTCGCATATATACGTCCTTCTCCTTATTTCAACTCCCTTCTTAACAACTTTGTCTTTTATCACACCAAAGCCATTACTCTTACCCCAATTGCTAATGAATTGGTCGCATATCGTCCAGCTCGTAAGTGTCTTTCCCGTATGAAGGCTCGCTGAGTTATTTTCGACGTTGTAATTCATTTCCATTGAAGCTGGAAAAAAAGAACAGAAGAAATATTGCAAAGGAAAATGTCGCAACGGTAAAATAGAAAAGGGTGAAATACCGCAAGGAAAGGAAGTATATGTTGCAAGGAAAGGTGAAAAAGGGGGAATAAATGCATCGTGAATAATTAATAATTGCAAAGAACGATGAGAAAGAGGGCGTGAAAACGAAAAATGTAAACTTGACTACGCAGCACGCGCTGATTATTACTAAAATCGTGTATACCTATCTGAATTAGGTACTACTCATAGAGCGGTTTTACGCGTCATACAAAAAAATAAACAAAAAAAAGCCCAGTGCAGGAATCGAACCTGCGTGGCTGCGTCACTGTAATTAAAAAGTAAAAATATCCCGCATTTTACCATTATTAATATGTATAAATTAAACGTTTCACAAAGGGGAATCGATGCATTGGGGGGGTCGATAAATTACTATTTCCTTATAAATTTATTAATTTAAAAAATTTTATTATTTTTTTATTCCATTTTTTAGAGGTTTGGCAAGCTTTGTGAATAGATGAAAAATGGTTGAAACTCATTTTCTACAAAATTCAATGAGATTTTGATCATATTAACAACAGCTAATTCATCTAATATTTTGATGTTTAGATTTCATCCAACATTTGCATAATTATACAAAATTTTATTATAATATATATAAGAGTAAATTTATTCATTGCACGTGCGATGCATCGCCACTTTCCTTTTTTGTAAATTATTTATGTTGATCAACCTGCTTATACATCACCACCCCCCTTAAAATGGCAATGATAAACATAAAAATTTGCATCGCACGTGCGATAAATAAATTATTTCTATATATAATATATTAATTAAAGAAAAATTTATTTTTCATCTGGATGATTTTTATCCCTCTGAATTTAATATATAAAAATGACGTCATGCTAATCATTTACTACTTTATATAGCCTTTAAAATTATAATTTATAGATAATTTTACCTACTTTACAAATTTATTTAATATCTTAAGAACATTTTGATAACTTATGACTTAAAGAATATCAAATCTCACTTAAGGTAAAGAATAAATTCACCCTTAATTATATTTTTATATTTTTATAAACTTTAAATTATTACTGTAAATATTAGTATTTAAGATTATTATATTAATAGTAATATTAAGTTTAACATATTAAAAAATTTCTTAATTAAAATAAAACTTTGTTAATCTTTTTAGAAAAATTCAGTTTAAAAAAGAATAGCTTTATTAATTTTTATTAATTATTATAATATATAAATAATATAATAAACCTTTTTTTAGTAATTAAGATTATTTTAAAAAAGTTTATTTTTTCCAAATTTTTTCATTTATTATTTTTATTAAAAATATTTTAGATTTTTATAAATTTCTTTAATAAATTTTTAAATAAAATCATTAATTCTTTAATTTATTTTTTTTTTGTTGTTATTTTATCTTATTTATATATTTTATAAAATATTATATTATACTATAAAAAAACTAATTATTGGGTTCCGTGATCACCAGACATTGAAGATAAGGCCTTTATGGCTAAAATGACCCGTTACTAAACGAAGTCTACCTACGGAGTTAAACGATCACTTGACAGTGCACACGTGGGGTACTACCAGTATGACGAGTGGTTTGTAGTTTAATTATATTAGAGTAGTTATTAGGGAATTTTACTTTGTATATATTTTTTCTTTATTTTTACTTTAATAAAACTGCAAATGTGCTGCAGAAAAAAATTTAATTAAAATTTAAATAAAATATTTAGTTATTATTATAATTTTTTTTTTAAACTTGATTTAATATATAAGTATAAGACTAATTTTAACTCAGGATGAAAAATAATTTTTTTTTTTTTTGAAATTTTTTTTTAAAAAATAATTGGCAAAAAATATAAAATATAAAAATATAAATTTTTAAGGAGGTGATTTAACTCAAATTATTTAACTTAAAGGACAAATTAGCAAAACTCAATATATAATATATTTATTAATTATAAAAATTCTAATTACTTATAAGAAATATTATCTTTTAACTTAAAATAAGATTTATTTAAAAAAAAAGTATTTAATTTTTTTTTTAAATTAATTAATCATTAAAATTTTTTTTTTTATTTCCAGTATAACTGGTTAAAGCTTTATTTGATTTGAAAGTCATACAAAACTACAAATAGATGAAAGTTCACTACTTTTACTATGCAATAAAAATATTCAGATATACTTATATTAGAATTTTAATTAATTTTTATAATATAAGCTACTATAAAATTTTTAATATTTATATGTAAATTTACTTTACTATAATTCTTAATTTATTAGTTAATTAATTTAAAAAGAAAAAAAATTATAATAATATATAACAGTTTTTTTTTTAATAAAATCTTTATATATATAAATTTTACTTTAAATTAGTTTTTTTTTTTTTNTAAAATATACTGAAATGGGCAAAATTTAAATGTAAATTAAATATATTTTAAGTATATATTAAATACAATTTAATTCTTTTTTTTTTTATTTATCTTTATAGGGATCGATATTTAATTATGGTAAGAAGTTTACGTAATCATAAACATTAACCTCTAAAATACCCCACTTAACTAGCAAATGTTCCCGATGAGCTTTACTTTAAATTAGAAAATAATAGTATTATATAATTACTATTATATTTTAATAAAAATTAGTAATTTAAATAGAAATTTTCTATTATATCAAAATAATATAATATTTTTTTGATCTATTATTTAAAATTTTTTAAAATAATATTTTATTTAATATTTAGTATTAGCTTAAAAGGAATAAATATTATTTTTTTTACTTTTTTTATATTAAGTTTAAAAATACTATATGTAAATAGAATTCTAATTATTTATAATATAGATTATTATAAAATTTTTAACAATTATATATAAATTTACTTTACTATAATTTTTAATTCTATTGAAAAGAAAAAAAATTATAATAATATAATGTAATACTTTTATTTTAAATATAATTTATTTATTTATAATAAAATCTTAATTTAATAAGTTTAAATATTTATATATAAAAAATAAAAATAAAACCAAAACAAAAAATACTTAAGCTAATCATATATAATAAAAAAGCTATATATATATAAATATTCAAAGCAATTAGTATTAATAAATAAAAAATTATAATATAAAGTCTTTAAATAATACTTTTTTAGTAAAATCAATATAAAATCTAATTAATTCTATATTTGAATATCTAATAAAGTTTACAAAATATATTTAAATTATATTATTAAATAAAACTATATATTTATTTATTAGTATTATAAAAATAATATTAAATTGCATTTTTACAGTTAATTAAAATATTTTTCTCAAATATATAGAATTTTTAAATTTCTATTAAATTATTTGAATATTATAATTTATTTGATTATTAACTTTTTTTTTTTGCTTAAAATCAATATTTTACTGTTTTATATTTTAAAATCTTTTATATAAAAATTTTACTTTAAATTAAAGAATAGTATTTATTATAACTTTATAAGCAGCCAAAATTTTATATAAATTTTACTAAAGCAAGATTTTACTAGTTTAGATAGGTTTAGACTATTAGTTATTAATTTATTATATTACTAATCTTATTATTAATTATATTACTATTATATTAACATTTATTTAATTTCTAAATAATTACATTTTCTTTTATTTACTTATATAATTTTTAATATTATAAAAAGATATATAATATATAGAGTGAATTTATTTACCGCACCCTGCATTACAACACATCCTTTCTTTTTTGTAAATTGTTTATATCGATTTTTAGTTTATACACCGCACTCCCTTAAAATGGCAAATGATAAACATACAAATATATATAAATTTGTAATGCAGGGTGCGGTAAATACATTATTTCTAATATATATTATTAATTTTTAAAATAAAGAAATTTAGATTAATAAATAATATTTATCATAAGTAGTTAAAATTCTTTTATATTATAAGTAGTTAAAATTTTACTAAGTTTTTTTAAAATACTGCTACGTATAAGGTTGTTTGCCGAAACCTAGGAGTTTAGGCAAGATGGCATTTCGCCGAAAAGTGAAATTCTGCCGAAACTATATTAAAGTTATATTAAAAAACTGGCAAAACTTTGGAGAAAGGCGAAACTGCTGAAACTTATTATAAATGCCGAAACTGCCAAAACTCTGCCAAAACTATAATAAATCTATAGTAAAATTTTGACGAAACTAATCGTAGGATTTTGAAGAGGTTTAGACAAGCAACCTTAGCTACGTATTTATTTAAAGTTATTATAAATATACAGAATATATATAAGCGAGCTATTAAGACTATTTATATAAAATAAATTACTCATTATTTCTAGTTGGAATATACAATTAGGTAGTTATAAAACTATATAGGTACAGTATCATTTAAAATAAATTTTATCTTAATCCTTTGCAGGTCCGGTAGTTTAAATTTAACAAATTACAAAATTAATTTTAATATGAACCATATTATCATTATAAAAATATCAAAAACAAAAAAGTAATATAACAGATCAAACCTTCCTATGATTTCTACAGGATTTTTCCATTCATCAGTAAAATGGCATATTCAATCTATTTATTTATTTTAAAAAGGTTTTAGATCTTATCTACTGATCTATTAATAAATGTATTTGTTTAAAAAAAATATTGTATAAAGAATTAGCATATTCTGAAATAAAAATTCGTAAGCATAAGAAGACAAAGTCTTTCTGATATTTTAAAATTAGCAATCATGATAACCCATTTAATTCCAAGTAAATATATTAAGTTCAACCGATTATACTTTTAAGTAATCTAATATTTTAATTTTGATAATCCTTTTGCTGATCAATTTAAATTAGTAAAAATTAAAAACTAAAATTCATTAATCTTATCAGTTTCTTGATTTATATAAATTCAAAAAAATTAAGTAATACTAAACCACTGAAAAAATGGCCAAATGATCAGTAAGTGAGAAATGTAATCGATTTTTATTTTACTAATTATTAATAATTAATTAATAAAAAAACTAAAGCAATTAATTTGAAAATTTATATATAATAAGAATCTAGTAATTTATAATATAAATTATTATAAAATTTTTAATATTTATATATAAATTTTTAATTATATTAATAATTAATTAATTTAAAAAAAAAATTATAAAATATTATGTAATATTTTTATTTTAAGCAATTTCTATTTGTACACGGGGTATTTGAACCCGGTTCATGTGATTATTGCCATTTTGGCTAATAGCATAAACTTCAAAATTAGTAGATAAATGGATTTTTGCCTGCTCTACAAGTTTACCTAAGACATCAAAGGTGCTTTTGAATGTCAGTTTTGACTTTACCTATGAATAATTAATTTTGCCGATCACTCTTAAAAAATTTAGGAAATGATCAGCAAAGACAGTTTTTCATATATAAGTCAAAAACGGCATTCAAAACCCCCATTGATGCCTTAAGTAAATTTGCAGAGCAGTCAAAAATACATTATATTACATAGAAAAAGTAAAGGGTGTGACATTGGTGTCATTATATTTCACATGACCCGTGTTCAAACACCCCATGTAAACTTTGAAATTTTCTTTATTTTAAATGTAATTTATTTATTATTTATAATAAGATTTTTAAAAGTTTAATATTTATTGTAAATAATTGAAATTCATTTATATTCAATTAAGTATAAATATAATAAACCTAAATTTTATATTTATAATAAATTTTAAACTTTTTATTTTTTTATTTATTATTTAATATTATTTAAATTTTATTAACTAAATTTAAACAAATTAAATTTCATTATTTTCATTTAATTCAATTTCATCAATATCTAATTTATCTATTTTATCATCATATAAATATTCATTATTATCATCTTCAGTATTTTCAATATTTTTCTTATTTAAATTTTTTAACAAAAATTCAAATTCATTCATTTGATTTTCTATATTTAATTTTTCATTAATTATCCATTTTATTATTCCTTTTTTATATCTAATTCTTGTAAAATTTAATTCAATATCCATTTCTGTATTTATTTCTATTTCAATTAATTTTAAAATATTAATATGTTGATATTCCCAAACTTTTACCCTTTCTATTTCTAATTGTAATTCATTTAATTCTTCATTAGGCGGTACAAAGTAGTAAAAATGGTTTTCATAGTCCGGCCAGGTCAGTTTTGCTAAGTCTTAAAAAAAAATTTTTTATATTATTACTATGCCAGGTGAGAATTTTTTAAAAATTGAAAAAAATTTCGCATATAAAATTTTTGAAAAAAAAAATTAAAAGCCGGGTTGCCGGGTTATTGATGAAATTTTTATATTATGAAAACCATAAAATCAAGTTTGTATGGCCTTACATCGATTTAAAGTAAGCATTGAATTAATTCCTTTTCTTATTAAAGGATCAACATTAGGAAGCATTTCTTCATTTAAATATTTCTTCCAAAATTCACTTTCAATATCACAAACAGTCTTCCAATTTTGAATAATTTGAATATCACAATTTGAATATGAAAAAGTTTCAATTATTTCATTATATTTACTTACAGCATTTTGTATATTTCTATCAGTTAAAGCTATTTGTGCTTTAATACGATTATATAATTTTGTTCCTAAAATATTATTTTATTAATTTAATAATTTTTTTTAAAAAAAAATTTATTATTGAATAAAATAATAAAATACCTGTTTTTTTATATATTCTTTCAATTTCTAATTTTCTACGTAAAGCAAGTTCAAATATTTTTCCTCTTTGAATACGCAAATCAAGTTCATAATAATGCTGTTTCATTTTTTCATATTCAGGATTATTAGGAATTAATTGTATTGAATCATCTTGTTGAGATTCATAAGATTCAATAAAATTTACAAGTTCATTAAGTTGTTTAAGCATATTTACTGCCCAAGTTGATGTTTTTCTTATTTTATGATTATTATATTTTTTAATTTCATTCCTAAAATATATAATATTTATTATAAATAATTATTTAAAATATTTATAAAATAAAATAAAATAAATTTAATGAACTTACTCAATTTTTTCTTTTAATATTATTTTTTCAAAAATAATATCAGAAGAAACAGTAGGTAATGGTTGATGTTTTGGATTAATTAAATCATCTTTAATTTTATTCCAAGATAATTTAATGGTATCTAAGGTTGCTTGTCTAAACCTCTTTAAAATCCTACGATTAGTTTCGTCAAAATTTTACTATAGATTTATTATAGTTTCAGCAGAGTTTCGGCAGTTTCGGCATTTATAATAAGTTTTGGCAGTTTCGCCTTTCTCCAAAGTTTCGCCAGTTTTTTAATATAACTTTAATAT